CAGCGCTTGCGAGGGCACCCCCTGGTCAGTCAGATAACTTCAGGGCTCCAATCATCAAATTTCTGCAACCATCGCCCGTGTTCACACTGATCGCCCTTGTCCAACCGTCTGTCTTTCTGGCTCCGCTGCTGTTCAACCCATCGAGGGAGAAAGGGGAGGGAATGGTGGAGCGGAAAAGCCTCCGAAAAAGGGATGGGGAGGGGGGAGGGGCTACGCTAAGCTACCCCCCATCGGCACAGAAGCCGCGTCCTGCCATAGGCAACGGGGAAAGTGAGAAACGATGGAAGAACACTCTCGGTAGAGCGGCAGTACCAGTAGCAGCAACAGCAGCAGCAGTAGTAGTAAACGAGGCCGAAAACGTTTTTGACCCGAGGCGCAGCGAGAATTTCCAAGAGGCCCCAACGGCCTTCGGAACACCCCCCAGGAGGCCCAAAAGGAGGCCCCAGGTGCTCCAGTCATTGAGCGAGAGGCTGGGCATACCCTGGGCACTGGGCCAAGACCACCTTCAGGTGAGAGCGGGGACTCGCGTGATGGCCAGGGATACAGTCACCAGCCTGACCTAAGGAACGATAAATAGGAACGAACCCCCTTTTTTTCCAAGTAAGTCTACGAAATCCGAAGGAACGGCCGAGCACTTTCTAGCGCCAAAAAGGTAGCGAACTGCATGGGGCGGCATCGCCCGAGGCTCGGCCTTTGCCCTGCGGCCGCCCTCCAGTGGGCTGCCGTTGAGAACCAACACGGGCGCCAACTGCGCCATGGTGGATCATTTTTTTCGGCGTTTCGACAGTGGGCGGAAAGGGGGGGGAGGGGGGGTCTGGTTCCGGACCTCTGCTTACTGCGGCTGTTTGGGACCGTGCGTCCTCTAGGGGAAGCTCCACCCGCTCGAAACAGGCGCCCAAAACACTCAAAGTCCACCCCCTTTGGGGAGGGTGCGAGGGCCCGCGCAGGCCGGCAAAACAATGAATAAGAAACGATCACATGCGCGCCACGTGTTCCACAGTGCCCGAAATAGGCGGGGAGAGCAAAAACAGCAAGCGCCAGGCGGGCTGGGTGCCCCAGGTGCGCTGGGCGGCATTCCCCACGCACGCCCGGCGACGACCTGCTTCCCACGGCTGGCCGCCACGCTCACTTGCGTACTTCTGGCAAGAGGACTGAGGAACCTCAAATTTTACTGGCCCGGAGCCAGCAGGACGTCTGACTAACGCGTGTAGAAGGGTAGGGTCAAAACCCCCCTCCCCGCTACACGCGCAAAGGGTCTCTTCACTTGAAGCCGCACTTCCAGCACGTAGCCAGCGCTTGGGACCTAACCCTGGCAACGTTCGTCATCGTTGACATTTTCAGTCGGTCAATGCCGTGCCGTGAAGCAACCGAGTTTTAACAAAGTGGACTAGCCGCTAAAAACACCAAACCATATGAACCGACGTTGCGCAGCCTGAACAAATGCGCGCCGCCCGCGCCACATGCGCCACGTGCGCGTGATCAAATTCAAATTCGGGCGTTGGCAAAACTGGGATAAGCAGGACCTGGTTTAATGATGTGTACCGGCGAACGCCCCCCCCATTCCACGAAACGGAATTGCTGTCACCCGCGAAAAGCACCAGCTACGGCAAGCATGCCTTGGCACGGGGCCCACCTAATAAGCAGTTTGATTAAAGAGGGTCGTGGTTATACCCTACAAATGCGCGCTGCGCCACGTGCACCACGCGAGCCACGTGCGCCAGGTGGGCCACGTAAACAACGCCCAAAAGTGTTGTACCAGGCGCACCGACCGCGCGCCAGGTGCAAGCGCGGCGCGGCAAATGCCCGCAGACTGCCCAGCACGCCTGGTGTTTCAATGCCAATTGCGCCGAGATTGGCTGATGTTAATGATTGCAGGACCCTCTCGTGGTGCTGCTGGTTTTTGGAACCGCTCGTGGCCATATGGCCCCGACGCCTGTGGCGAAACCCTTCTGGAAACCTTCGAACCCATGTCAACGACTACGCCTCGCCAAGAGACCTTAGAACATCGATGACATACTGTGTCGTCGATATGATCAAATTATTCACAACAATCGGTCGTGCCCCGCAAAAAGTGACATGTCAAAGCGCTAAGCCCTCCCTCCGCCTTTGCGTCGGGAGAGCTTATGCCAGGAAACGGCGTCGGGACGGGAGGTAGGTTGGATGTGACAGCAGTGATCTTCAACACTTGTGAATCAACCAGGCGTGCGTCGTGTGCATCGCACGGGTGCCGTCAAAGACCGCGAACACCACGGCACGGCACGGCGCACGGCGGCGCACCTGCCACACTCCAGCACTTACCGTGAGACAAGACACGGCAAGGCATGGCACGCAGGCGCGGTACGGCACACTTCTCGCTATGGCACACATAGGCGCTGACACCGCACGCGGGCACGGCAAAACACGGCACCGCACTGAACCCTGTCAGCACGATCGGAACCAAGCACGGCACGGCACGGCACGGCACACATGTCGAATCCTGGAGACCCGGCACGGCACGGCACGGCACGCATGGCGTTTTCTTTCGGCACGTCGGCACGGCACAACACTGCACTTTTTCTCGCATCATGAAAACAAGGAGCCGCACGTTTTTTTTTTGTTCCACTGCTCAAGAGCAGGCGCGGCACGGCAAGGCACGCAACTCGAATTCTGAAAAGCACTAAGGGCACTGCACGTTACGGCATGTGTGACAGATACTGTTTTTTATCTAAAGAATCTGTTCCACTTGAAATTATGATGCGAACGTTGGCATTGCTTTTTCTGCGCCCTCGTGACCATGACCTTTTCCCACGACGACGACGACGCCGACAGAGACGACGACGTCGTTGTCGCGCACGTACTCGGAGCGTTCGGACAGAATGCCCGCCCCATGTCACCCCACAAGTCTGGACTCTGGACCCCATCCCGGGACCGACAACAGGTTTTTTTGACGGCGTCACGGCCCAGTGAAAGTCCCGGATGCCAAAAACGGTGCAAAAACCGTCCGTCGCGATTTGCTCGCTACAACAAAAGTTCCAGCCCCCCCCGACGGTGGGGGACGTCTTCGGGCGGGAGGGAGGAAGGGAGGAGGCCGAGGACTTTTGCAGTCCAAACAATCAAGCCAAATGAAAACAGGTCTGCAGTTACAGGAGCCCGACCACCAGGAAACGTTCCACAAGAAACCCAACCCTGTCAACCCAGAGCGTCCATTGAAGTCTGGTGTGGGAACGTCACGTTTTCCACAACAAAACTATCAAAACCCAAGAGATCCAGAGCACCCTGGAGGAAAACATGGTGGTTTTTGGCATGGGTCCCCATCAGAATTTCCCAATCAGTGCTTGCACTGAAAGGGTCCTAGCAGATCTTGAAGGATTTGGCAAAAAAAAACGGCCTATGTCGATGTACGGTCGGGTTCCCGGATTTCAGGGTTTTCGGGTCCCCGATTGGCCTCCATATCGATTCACTATCGATCGCACGATCGATATCACGATCGATATCAGTGGATTTCGCGATGGATCGCGCAAGCGATATCACAATCGATCTCATTGAACCGACTACAAGATCAGTCTCACGATCGACCTGTCGACCTCACTATCGATCCCACTACCGATACCACTGCCGATCTCTCAATCGATCTAAACATCCAGATCATTAATTTTCAAAAACATCCACTGAATGGGGTTATTCGCTGGTATACCTTTCGAATGGGGTATATTCTCGGGTATTCTCCAACATATGAATGGTTGCATGTGTGATTGGCCATGGGGGGCTGGAATTCCCGAAAGGGGCGGGGAGCAACAACCATTTCCTTGGGCCGGTTTTGCCACACCTGCGCTTCCAACGGCCCAGAGGGGCGGAGGCGGGTGGCCCCAGAAGCCAGCCGTTGAAACTCGACAAGAGGCGCGTGGCCCGAGCCCGAGGAATTTGAACTTTGCTGGGGCAGAAAGCGAAGGATGCCAAAAACGAAACCGGAGAGGCATCGGAATCGGAATCGGAATCATCGCCAAGCGATGGTAAATACCACATCTTACCTGTCTCAAAAATCCGCGAGCGCCAGAACGGGCCAGGAGCCGCAGGAGACGACACAGATGCAAGACACCCAACGATAATGCCATTTAGTTGGACCCCCTCTCTGACCGCCACGGCCGCAGGCAAAGAGGACCGGTCCTCATCCCAGCAGCCGCCCACCGGCAGCACTACGGCGCGCGAGTGCACGACATTGCGCACCCAGTGGACGGCAGGGGCCCTCAATCAGCCCCTGAGCTTCCTCTTGCATTGATCAGGTGCCGCCCCCTGCCCTCGCCTCCGATGTTCTGCTGCCGTCTCACAACGCCTGACGCTCTCGGGAGGAGAACGAAGAGGAGGAGGAGGAGGAGGACAAGACAGGACAGGACATCCGCATAATCGGGTCAACGTCAACACACCTAGACTGGTGCCTTTCGCGCGTCTGGCAACTCCCCCGCGATTCGGTGGTATGCTGAAGCTTCAAGGGGTGAGCTCCGAGGTGGCCCCGAAGAGAGGCTCGCTACCTTGTGAGTGCGAGTCCCTGCGGGTCAGTGCGGGGGGAACGACGAGGAGAAGGAGGAGGAGAACGAGGAGGAGGAGGAGGAAGAGGCAAAGGCCTCCTCAATGGGGTCGGAACAGACGGGGTCCGAAGATCGCCACACCGAGCCGGATCGCCGATGCACCGGCGATGCGGCGCGACCCTCCGACCCCGTCTTTTCGGAGCCCATCCGGGAGGCCTGGTCACTGTACCGACTTTTCTGTCAATGCACCGACTCCCAAAATGGCGAGCGAAAAACGAAGGGAATTTCCTGGAGGCTTTTTGTTGTCTTCATTTCTGACCAACGAAGATCAGCACGGAATCCACTTCGAAATCCGAAACGAAATTATCCCGGACAAACCTGGTTCCATCCTATTGTTTTCCGAACGAAATCCGCTCTGCGATGTTGGCGCCATGAGGCCTGGAGGGGTAGGCCAGGCGAGGAGGTGCCGACAGGCTCGGCGCCCACCCGGGCTCGCACCTGCACCCGCGACGGCTGCGGCTCGGGCGCCTCCGCCCCGGGCTGGAGGAAGCACGCGAGGAGCAGCTCCTGCCGCCGACAGTCCCCAGGGGCGTACGAGTGAAGGGGGATTCTCGCTCTTCCTCTCTCTCGCTGTCTCTCTTTTGCTTTGTTTATAGTCTTTCTCTCTCTCTCTCTCTCCCTCTCTTTCTCGCTTTCTATGCGCATGGATATGGTCTACATATGCATTGATATGTCTCTCTCCCGCCCTCTACTCTCCCGTTCTCGTTCCCTCTCTCACTTCCTCTATCATTATCTCTCCTTTTCTTTCCCTCTCTCTCTCTCTATCTCTCCCATGTGTATCTCTCTCTCTCTCTCTGTCCCGCTCTCGTCCTCGCTCTCGTTCTCTCTCTGTCTTGTTACCCCACTCCCTCCCTGTATGTCTGTCTGCTTCTGTCAGTCAGCCGGTCTGTCTGTCTGCCTGTCTGTCTGTCTGCCTGTCTCTTCCTCTCTCTCTCTCTATCTCTATGCCTGCATACACATAGATGTGTCCCCTTCTCTCGGGGTATGTATGTATTGATGCATGTCGATCCGACCCATTTTTCCAACCATCCCCGCGGTTTACGCTTTGGTGTTTGCTATCACAGATTTGTCGGAGTGCAAGGGCCGAACGGCCATTCATTGAGCGCATGTCACAGAAACCGTTCCGTCTGGCGAATTATGACTGTTGTTGTGCTAGTGGTGCTGTTGCGTTGTCGTCCTCGCCCACGACCCGCATGTGACCCACTCGCGACCCACCCCGCGACCCACCTGGGGACCCACCCGCGATCCACCCCGTGCATGGCCCTTCGCGCTTGTCCGCGTTTGCAAGGTGCATCGTATACAAGAAAATGTATATAGCACCCCGCAATTGCGGATAAGAGTGAGGGGGCGGGCGCGGGCGACGCGGGCGTTGTCGAGCCGGCGGACCTCGTGGCCCCCACCTTCCCTGTCGATGGCGATCTTCTCCTCCTCCTCCTCCTCCTCCTCCTCCTCCTCCTCCTCGTCCTCATCGTCATCGTCCTCCTCCTCCTCCTCCCTCCTCCTCCTCCTGTTCTTTCTCGTCCTCCCTCTCCCCCCCTCGTCCTTTCATCATCGTCCTCCCATCGTCGTCCTCCCCCTCATCGGCCTCCATCATCGTCCTCCCATTGTCGTCCATCATCATCATCATCCTCCTCCCCCTCCTCCCCCTCCTCGTCCTCCTCCTTCCCCTCCTCACCCTCCTCCCCCTCCTCGTCCTCCTGCTCCTCTTCCTTTTCTCTCTCCACATCATCCTTACATCCTCTCTTCTGCCGCGTTCTCCTCGTCCCCTGTTTACTCCTCCTGCCTCCCCCTCCTTTTCCAAGATAACTGCAACGCAGTCATTCGTTCCACTTTATGCTTGCCGCCTTCTCTGATCAAGGCAACTCGCCAGGGCAAAGCTGCTGGACGGGCTGGTGTGGATGCGCGGGGCTTGAAGAGGTCCTTGCGGGCTCAGACGGCATGCGAAAATCCGCCGCCGCGTTTGTGCGGCATTGGTTTGTTCAGTGAACATGGTTTAGGTCGCGGGTGGGTCGCGGGCTCTCCACCTCCACCTGGAAGGAATGCAAAAGCAACCCGCCGCAGGCGCCAACAGAAATTGGTTTGTACACTGAACGTGGTTTGGGTCGCGGGTGGGCCGCGGGTTCTCCACCGGGAGCGAATGCAAAAGATGCCCGCCGCAGGCGCCGTAACATGTAGTTTGTACCCTGAACGTGGTCGCGGATGGCCCGCGGGCTCTCCACCTGAAACGAATGCAAAAGATGCCCGCCGCAGGCGCCGAAAAATGTGGTTTGTACCCTGAACGTGGTTTGGATCGCGGGTTGGTCGCGAGTTGGTCACGGGGTGGGTCGCGGGCTCTCCACCTGGAAGGATGCAAAAAAAGCCCGCCGCAGGCGCCGAAAATGGTGGTTTGTACCTTCAACGTGGTTTGGGTCGAAGGTGGGTCGCGGGTGGGTCGCGGGGTGGGTCGCGGGTGGGTCGCGGGTGGGTCGCGGGTGGGTCGCGGGTGGGTCGCGGGGTGGGTCGCGGGGTGGGTCGCGGGGTGGGTCGCGGGTGGGTCGCGGGTGGGTCGCGGGTGGGTCGCGGGTGGGTCGCGGGGTGGGTCGCGGGGTGGGTCGCGGGGTGGGCCGCGGGTGGGTCGCGGGGGTCGCGGGGTGGGTCGCGGGTGGGTCGCGGGTGGGTCGGGTGGGTCGCGGGTGGGTCGCGGGGTGGGTCGCGGGGGGTCGCGGGGTGGGTCGCGGGGTGGGTCGCGGGGTGGGTCGCGGGGTGGGTCGCGGGGTGGGTCGCGGGTGGGTCGCGGGTGGGTCGCGGGTGGGTCGCGGGGTGGGTCGCGCGGGTGGGTCGCGGGGCGGGTTGCGGGTGGGACGACGACAACAACAACAACAAACAACAACAACAAACAACAAACAACAAACAACAAAACAAACAACAACAACAACAACACAACAACAACAACAACAACAACAACAACAACAACAACAACAACAACAACAACAACAACAACAACAACAACAACAACAACAACAACAAACAACAACAAACAACAACAACAACGAGAATCCGCACCGCGGAATTCCACTTCAGCCACGCACCCAGGGACAGTGAATGACCGCTCGGCCCCCTCACTCTGATGGATGTTAGCCAACGAGGACCCCAAACTGTGTTTATGGTACTGTACGCTGTGCAATCCTTGCGAGGCGCTCTATATGATGAAAGTCTACGTGGTGCACTGCGTGATGCGCAACTACTGTATGAAGAATATGTGGTACAATTGATGTCGTACAATCCATGTAGTGCGGTATACGTTGTGCCACCTATAGTGTGCAAAACATGCGGCGCGAACTATGTGGTGCAGACTCGGTTGTGAAATCTATATTGTGCAGTACGTGTGGTGCAAGCTTTGTGGTGCAATATATGTGGTACGCTGCTTCTGTGGTGCGATCGGCGCGGCGCAGTCCACGTGGCGCAGGCGATGTGGTGCAATAGTTGTTCGCTGTGAATTGTCAACCCCACTGCTCGCGCAATCGTGATACCCACCCACCCACCCACAACTTGGATTTCAAGAAACATGCGGCGGCGATTACGATGACTACTTGCCACTGGCAGGCGCATAGCTGCGGCCGCGCTAGCGCGCGCAGGCTCGCACGCACAGCGGCCAGCTTGTCTGGCGCGACCGGCGCGGCGACGGAGGCGCCGACCGCTGAGGGGCCCCAGCGCGTCTCGCAGGCCGCGCCGACGCGTGAATCTGCACCTTCCTAGGCAGGCTGGGGCTATTGGTACCCTATCGGCGATCAATGGGCGATTGGGGGTCCATGCGCCCCCCCTATTACCTGTCTCCCCCATCGTTGCCCCTGACCGACGGAGAGGAGGTGCCACGCCCGAGGCTCCGCCAGGGGGCCGATCGCCAACAGCAGTTTGACGTAGGCGAGTGAAGCTTCCTCTGCCTGGCCTGGCCAAGCCGTGCTGCCATGCTGGAGCTCCCGCTGCCGAGATTGTCGCACGCCAGGGGGGCCCAGCGCGGACCCAAGAAACCCGCGCGAAGCGCCACAAGCTTCTGTGTATGGCGTTTTCTTCTTGGAACTCCTACGAGAGGAGGTGCCACGCCCGACGCGTGAATCCACACCTTGCTGGGCAGGCTGGGGCTGTTGGGACCCTTTCGACGATCAATGGGCGATTGGGGGTCCATGCACCCACCCCTATTCGGCGGTGGACAATACTCCACTTAGTAAACCACCCTTGTAATGAAAACGGCCTGAGACTGAAACCGACGTACCTGGACCCGCAAGCATGACGGCCGCGACGCCCTCTCGCGAACCGAAAACGGGCAATTCGCTGATCGACGTGTCAGGGTAGGAGGCCTGTCAACCTACGACCTGTACCTATCTCCCCCCCCATCGTTGCCCTTGGCCGACGGCGAGGAGGTGCCACGCCCGAGGCTCTGCCAGGGGGACCCAGCGCGACCAGTTGTTACTGTGGCCTGTTGGGTGGTAGTGTGGCCCGTTGGGTGTTACTGTGGCCCGTCTCGCGGACGGATGGGAGTTACTGTGGCCCGCGCTGGCCGTTCAATGAAAAGTTCTATGTAAAGGCGTCTCATGTTGGATCTGGAGAGCTTCGCAACCCTTGAGGGCATGCCCCTGACCGACGGGAGAGGAGGCACCGCGCCCGAGGCTCCGGCGCCCCGGCCACGTGGGGCAGGTCGGCGGCCGAGGGGTCGCCGCGCGTGGCCTCGTCCTGCCGGGTGGGGGGGCGCGGGCCACGTGGCGCGGGAGGCGGCCCGCCGCCCCGCGGCGGGTGCCGACGCGGGGCGGCAGGACGATGGCAGTGGCCGATGGCAGGACGATGCCCGCGGGCGGCTCTGGAAGGGTAGCAGTGGGCCAGCTTTCCACCACCACGAACTGAGGTAGGGCGGGGGACAAGGGAGGGTGGGGAGCTCCTCCTGCTCCTGCTCCTCCTCTTCCTACTCCTCCTCCTGCTCCTCCGCCTTCTCTCCTCCTCTTCTCCTCCTTCTCCTCCTTTTCCTCCTCCTCCTCCTCCTCCTGCTGCTCCTCCTCCTCCTCCTCTTCCTCCTGAAAAATAACTCCGTGTCGCACCCCGAGGCTGGTCGTAAGGGCGGGCCGGGCGTTTCGCCTGAAGCTTAAGCAACCGATGGGAGGGCGGGTGGTTTTCAAAATGTGGCTCTCGCCTGAGCGCTGCGCGCATTCGTCTGAAACAGTTGCAAGAGCTTCGCGGCTTGAGGGAGTGTGGATTTCACTCAAAGTGTGGCTCTCGCCTTCTCGCCATATTGTTCACAACTTTGCAAGGGCTTCGCGGTTTGAAAACAGGTCGTTTTCCAAATGTGATGTTCGCCTTGGCGAAATGTGATGTTCGCCTTGGCGCCGCGCACATTCGCTTGGAAAAATGAACAAACTGCACGGGTTGACGACAGGTCCTTTTCAAAAAATGGTTCTCACCTTACCGCCGCGCGCAGTTGTTTGCAAACAATTGCAACAGCTTCGCGGATTGACCACAGGTCCTTTTCAACATGTGGTTCTCGCCTTGGAGCCGCGCACACTCGTCCTAAGAATCTGCAAGAGTTTCAGGGATGCTCATGGTTGGCATTCCAAACGTACACTCATAACTTGTGTTAAGAAATTATGTGTTAAGAAATTGAGACCCAACTTCGGTGAATTTCTTTACCCCGGTGCGAGACCCAGCTTTCGCCGCCGAATTTCTTAACGAATCGGGCGTTGCCACGCGACCACCGGCACAGCCAAACGGGTGTTTCTTAACAAATCGGGTGTTACCACGCGACCACCGGAACCACGAATCGGGTGTTTCTTAACGAATCGGGTGCTGCGGGATAGTGATGAGGGGTTGTGTTGAGGGGTTGTGCTGGGGGGCTGTGCCGAGGGATTGTGCTGAGGGGTTGTGCTGAGGGGTTGTGCGAGGGATTGTGCTGGAGGGTTTTCGAGTTCGCCTTCCAGCACAACCCTCTCCAGCACGACCCTCCAGCACAACCCTCTCCAGCGCCACCCCGTCAGCACGATCCTCAGCACCACCCCCCAGCACAACCCCCCTCCAGCACTTAAGAAATCGGTCCCAGCTTAAGAAATTGGTCCCAGCTTTTTTGAATTTCCTATTTTATTCTAAAAAATTCTGAGACCCAGCTCAAAAAAGTGAGTTTCTTAACAGACGACATGAGTGTAGCGTAACCCCAGGAAGCATTTAAGAACCCCCCCGGCGATATCGTAGCACCGCATTTGTTATTCGATATTCCGAAGGGCCGAAATAACCGAACGATAGCTGTAGCACCCGGACACGATGATGATGATGATGATGATGATGATGATGATGATGATGATGATGATGATGATGATGATGATGATGATGATGATGATGATGATGATGATGATGATGCGGATATGGATGATGGTGCGGAAGGGTTATCGATTTGCCGGAGGGGGGGGGGTCTTGAATGCTTCCTGGGGTTATTGGAGCGATTAAAGACTGTCAGGGCGCTACAGTGATGTCAATTCGTGGTGTTGGAGTCTCAAGAATGGTGCTCTCGCACGATTCAGGATCGTCAAGACGCAACAGTCAGATTGACCCGTGGTGTTGAAATCCTGAGAATGGTGTTGTTACGCGCGTCAAGATTTTCACACGGTTGTCCCCCAACGGCGCACTTCCCTGAGTGGAAGTAGCCCCCGTGTAGGGGCCTACGAAGAGGGAGTTTGGAGGGAGGGCGCAGTCCAACATCCTTGATGACCCTTGGGTTAACACTGGTCGTCCTCCTCCTCCTCGTCTTCCTACTCCCTCCCTGTCATACCTATGTCGTGGTGGTGGACAGTCGGCCCATCAAATGATTTCAAACCTGATGGGGAAAATCCAGGATACCTCGCAAGGCAACTTGAGACCCAAGGTACCTCGGGTCCACGCCAGATTACCATCAGATTTGCGTGATGTTTCTTCGGAGGAGTGGTAGGACAACCCGGGCGGCTATTTTGAAGTCTGGGGCCGTCAAAACCCTGCCCGGGACGACGCGCTGGCCTTGCGGAAAAAGTCGAAGCTTCCGGGAAGCCGGGGATTCGAAACATCGGGTCGTCGGAGCTTGGGCGCTAGTGGCAGCAGCAGCAGCAGCATCGACACCACCGGGCAGCAGTGGCAGCATCACCAGCCGGCAAATTTCGCCGCCAGTACTCGAGAATCGATGGGGCGGGAGGGTTTCGGATGCTTTGAAAAAGGCTTGGGACGTTTACAATCCCTTTGTGGCCTCCGGAAGGGCCCACGGGGTCTCCAGGAACCTCGGGGGCCAAAGGGCGGGAGCAAAACTTGCCGCCGGCAACTCCTCGGCCCCCGAGACCTTCTCCTCCGCCGCGCGTTCCTCCCACCTTTTGTCCTCTTCTGTCTCCTCGTCGTCCTTTTTTCATGGCCTCCGGTCCATTCCGCCACCGTGCCTTGATTGCGGGGTCACGGATGCGTCTTGGGGTCTCATCGGGGGGCTCTCGGAGCTTTTTGGGGGGCAGTGTTGAGGCCTCCTCCTGGGGTCCTCTTGGAGGCCTGCTGGGGGGTTCCTGGTGGTTTGGGGGGGCCTCTTGGGGCCTTATTTAGGGTTCCTTAGGGCCTTACGGGTGCCTCTTGGAGGCGGAGAGCTCGAAACGTGAGTTCGTATTGCTTTTCCGAAGCCCCTCATGGGGCCTGTTTGGAGCACTCGTGGGCCGTCTCGGAGGCCTTTCTTTGAATTGTTTTGGGCCGTCTCGGCACCCTCTCGGGGGGCCTCTGAAGAAGTACTGTGGCGCTCTTGAGGGCGTTGTGGGCCGTCTTGGAGCGTCGGCAAGCAGCGCCCGTCGCACGCGCGTCGGGGGATGCCAGCCCATCCCCCGGCCGCGCGCTGCTCGCCCCGTACACGCCCGAGGCCCTGAGCCCCAGATTCCAAGATGCCCTCGCTGCCCTACGATTCCATTTTGACCCCAGTACCGCCCCATGGCTCCAAGGTGGATTCGATACTACAGTCGGGGCGTTGACCTAATGAACCCCGAATAAGGAACGAGGCCCTTTTTCCCCATAAGTTAAGCTTCGATTTCCCATGGAAAACCTCAGGACAAGCTAAAGCAAGCTGCGAAACAATGAAAAAAGCACCGAGCCCCTCCCCAACGAAAAGGATTCCTTCTGGCCGGGAGGAGGCGGAGGAGGAGGAGGAGGCCTCATGGCTCCAAGCTGGATTCGACACTGCCCCATGTGACCCCGAATTGCCCATAATATGCCCACAAAGGCGGAGAGCGGCGACGCCTGGCCCAAAACAGAAAAACAACGAAAATGAGAGCAACTGGTTCAAATAATCCCAAAAGTATTCGATTACACCAAAGAAAACCCAAGTCAGTGGATGGTTTGATCGATAAAAAGATCGACCGGGAACCTGGGAACCCGGAACCCACCGAAATCGGCCCAAAACCAATAACCAGGAACCCGGAAACCCAAACCAGGAACCCGGGAACCCAGCCGGCCACCAAACTCGGCGGGGCACTTTCGCCAAATCTTTCAATTTCCGCTATGACCCATTCAGTGCAAGCACTGATTGTGGAATCATAGATCCCCAATGTGGGATCTTCGATCCTCGATGCATCATGTCCGAAAAAAACGCCCATATGTTCCCAGAACAACTCCATGATGCTCCCTATGCGCAGTGACCCCACCGCAACCTCACAACTATCCCCTCGTGCCCCACGGCACACGGCCCAGCGCGACGCCATCATCATAAGAAGCAGCAGCGGCGAAGACAGCAACTGCAACAGCTACAGCAGCGATGGCAAAAGCGGCAGAGGCAGCAGCGACGCCCCGACGCCAGGGGATCGAGGGCCGACTTGTTTTGTTTGGTAAGATTGACAGATTGGGCCGTTGGGGGCCTCTGGAAGCCTCCGGGTACGTCACGGGTAAGCAACGCCCAATCATCTCCTCCTCTTCCTCAGCCAATATTCCTCCTCCCTCGCCTCGTGCTCCTCCCCTCGCATGACCCTCGTCCGTTGTCTCCTCGTCCCGTTATCCTCAGTCTCTCCTCTTTCCCCTCATTCCCTTGTTGCCCCTCCTCCTCCTCCCGCACATCCTGCTCCACCTCTTCCCCCTCGTCCTCTGTATCCCCCCCTCCTATGTGCTGTTCCTCCTCCGCCATTTCCGCCTCGCCCTCCTCGATTCCCAACCTTCCTCGGTCCCTTTGTTCCCGTTTGCTCCCCGAGCCGCGTAGCTATTACCCATAGGCCCGCGCGCCCTGTAACCCTCCAATAATATACTTTGCCGCCGGGGTCAGAACACCAACCCAGCGGCGACAGGCGGTGATCACGCCGCTGCTCGGCTACCCCCTCCCTCCCGCAACGTAGGATGGTGAGCAGGAGGTTCGTCGCGGCCCGAGACCTTAGGTGACCTTTAGCTGACAATGGTTTTGGGATGACACAAAGACCGTAATGCGACACCAGGATCGCCCCATGGCAAGACGCACAATCCATAGTGACCCAACGATGATTCGAAGATGACCCCAACATGGCCCCATGAAAAACCTAACGCGAATTCGTGTCCCAAGTCTGATGCCCGCCTGATTCTATAACCCCAAACTGAACGCCAGGTTGCACTACGACCATCTGCGGGACCCCATATGACGCCCCCATGACCTTAAGATGGAGCCAGAGGCACCACGTAGCACCGCGCGAAGCAAATGTCGACCTTGAGATGGCCCCGAAACGACCCAATGACCCAAGTTTGATCTCAAGTCGGTTTGACAACCCCTTATGACTCCAAGACGACCCCCATGGCCCCAATATTGCCCCAGTCCGAATCCATTATGAAGCCAATCCCACGCGGCTACGTTCGTCAACGTTTCCTCATCGGCTCAGGGACGCGCTGCGCGGAGGCCAGCTAAATTCTGGATGCCTGATGCAGGTGTTCTAGGTGCCAAATAGCGCGGTCCGGGTTGAAATACCTAATTTCAACGACCAGCGTAGCGTGTACACCCATTCGGACCTGCACATTCGACAAGGTCAGTGTATCGGGAGGAGGGTGGGGCGGGCGGGCCCCTTAACCAGGCTTATCGCCAGACCCCTCAAAATGATACAGTCTCCAACCACTAAGAATAACTGGCTGAGGCTCACAGTTCGAAGGATGTGCGCAGCCAGGCAAACCCCAGCGGGGGTGTCCGATACACCAGCGCCGACTGAAGCCGAAGCGGGCAGGGGGCCGAAACACGCTGAGGCCGAAAGCGGCGTCTTCCCGCGCGGTCGCAGCGGCTCAAATGAAGAGAGGGGGGTGCCTCGCAAAGCGGGTCTTCGCCGTCCACCTCGTGGAGGTCGTCCATGGCGTCGTCCTCCTGGAAGTGGGGGGGCCGCGCAAAACCGACAAAGGAATCGTTTTTGCAAGTTTACGGCCGGACCTCGAACAGAAGAGCATCCTTGAAGAACATGAGAGCCTCCGCCGGTCAAAACACCCCAAACCATAAGATCCCTCGAGGGTACAACAGCATCCAACAAACACGAAAAAACTCAGGGCACCCTCCTCGAACCGACCTCGGTGTTATACCTCGGTCCGATCGTACGCGATAGCGTCCGTTACTGACCCCGGCCGCCCCCCTTCCCCCCTTAGTAACCTCACGATTCGTGCTGACCTCCGAATTGGCTTTGGTTATTCCTGGAAATTCCCAAACATTGCCTGTGCGAAACGTGACGGTACCGCCCTCCCGAACTTCCCCCCCGTAACACCCGCTATCGCCCGAGAGTTCGCCGGCCCAACGGGCAAGAAGCGTGTTAAAATCTGCGGCCCATAGCGCCTATTTGGGGTCCCCGGACGAATTACGCTACCGAGGAACCCCACATACTTATATTATGGCTGGAGTGCTGATAGCTGAAGTGAAGCATGTGAGAATGATATTGGTGGCCGTTCCCTGCGCACCCCCTATGGTGTCGAGAAAGTGCCACTCCTGCTATGCCTTGCGCCATGGCCCGTATAGACGCCGCGCTCGGGGACCACCCCCTGCGCACCCCCCATGGTGTCGAGAAAGTGCCACGGCTGCTATGCCCTTCGCCATGGCCCGCATAGACGCCGCGCTCGGGGACCACCCCCTGCGCACCCCCTATGGTGTCGAGAAAGTGCCACGCCTGCTATGCCCTGCGCCATGGCCCGCATAGACGCCGCGCTCGGGGACCCTGCGCACCCCCTATGGTGTGGACAAGAAGCCACGCCTGCTATGCCCTGCGCCATGGCCCGCATAGACGCCGCGCTCGGGGACCACCCCCTGCGCACCCCCATAAGGTGTCGAGACAACGCCACGCCTGCTATGCCCTGCGCCATGGCCCGCATAGACGCCGCCCTCAGGGACCACCCCCTGCGCACCCCCTATGGTGTCGACAAAACCCCACGCCTGCTGTGCCCTGGACGACCGTCGTGCTGTGCTGTGCTGTGCTGTGCTGAGCTGAGCCGTGCTGTGCAGAGGTGCTATGCTGTGATGTGCAGTGCTGTGCTGAGCTGTGCTGAGCTAAGCTGTGCTGTGCTGAGCTGTGCTGCGCTGTGTGGGAAGGAGAAGGAGGAGGAGGGGAGGTGAGTGAGGGTCGCGGGTGCGACGCGGCAGGGATGAAAACCATAACCCCACGAAACATGTGGGGAAAAATACCCTGGCAAGGTCCGGGCAAGTTCCCGACAAGTCCCGGCAGGGTCGGGTCGGAGATGCCAGAAATCGTGGGCGCGGCCTCGGGGGCCCCCGAAGCGCCCCAATGAGGCGCCAAATGCGTGGTAGGCCCCAGGGCCTGAGGCCAAGAGCGTTCCAAGATGGCCCACGTTGGTCCCAAGACGGCCCAAGAAGCGCCCAAGACGCTCCAGGAGGATTCCAAGAGGATCTCGAGAATTTCGCGTGTGCTTTCAAACGATTTTAGCGGCACTGCCTTTTCACACTGCCGACCGCCCTGGACGGCCCAACAGGCCCCAAGATCGCTCCAAGACGGCCCAAAAAGCCTCCAAGAAGGCCCCCAACTAGCCCAAGATGGCCCTAAGATGGCCCAACAGGCCTCCAAGACGGCCCAAGGATGGCCCCAGACGGACATTTCGAGCTCGCGGCCCCAAGAAGCGCCCAGGCAGGAAGCCCCCAGAGGTCCTCGAGCCCTCCGAAGAGACCCGAAGAAGCATCCATGAGGACTCTGACTCACAGCACGGGTACGTCTCGAAACTCTGCTGGAGCTCTCTTGAGCCATCTTGGCGCCCTCTGGGGCAGTCGATCGGCGCTGTTCGACATGGTAGGAGCCACATCTCCAAAGATCGTCTCGAGGACATTCCTGCCTGCCCTACAATGCCCACTGGGCACGGGCACACCACCACGCAGCAACAGTGATGCGAAACGGGCCGGCGGAATGAGCGAACCGATCAAATAAAAAACGCTCTCGAACACTGACTCGCGTGATCCGTAGCGTCGTGATGGCCGCGATCCTAGAACAAATGGAAACGCAACGTTCGATCCACCTCAAAGTTAGAGGACCAGTGCGTCCACGAAGCTCGCGCATAGCCCCCTCACCCTCCTCCTCCTCTTCCTCCTCCTCCACCTCCTCTTATCATTCTTACAAGTACTCTATCCAGTGTACGTATCCAGAATATCATGATCATGTTCTTATTCCACAAAATAGACAGCCGCAGCATCATCATGATCATCGTCATCGCCATGCATCAGCATCATCATAGTCATCATCATCATCAGCAGCAGCATCATCATCAGCAGCCGCCGTATCAGCATCAGCATCAGCATCTTCAGCAGCATAATCATCATTAGCAGCATCATCATTGTCACCATCACCATCAGCATCACCATCATCACCACCATCACCATCACCATCACCATCACCATCACCATCACCATCACCACCACCATCATCAACATCATCAGCATCATCAGCAGTAGCGTCATCAACATCATTATCATCATCGTCATCAGCGTCACCATTATCATCCTCATCCTCAGTATCATCCTCATCAGCAGCAGCATAGTTATAATGATCATCATCGTCATCATCACCAACGTCACCATCACCTCATCACCGCATCACCATCACCACCATCATCACCAACGTCATCATCAACTCATCACCTCATCATCATCACCACCATCACCATCACCACAATGATCACCATCACCATCAGCAGCATCATCATCATAATCGTCTGGCTCCTCCTGTCTCCTGAACGCTGCATCCTGATGGCATGCATGCTAACAAGAAGGGTGCCGACGTCCCCGCCCCCTCCCCCCCTCCAACGGCCGCTGCCGCCAGCGGGGAAGGAACTGCACAGGACCTCCTCATCCGTTGAGGAACACTAGTCGGTACAGTATTCGGCCTGACCTAAGGAACGATCAATACCCTCGACCAGGATAGTAAGAATGAGCGGTAAGGATGCAAAGGCCTTGGAACGCAATGTTGACGTTTTCCGTGCGGAGCGCAGCAGAATGCCGAAGGATGCCGAATACCGAAGGGGCAAGGATGCATGGGTAGCCTTGGAAAGTTGCCCCATCCTTCCTATCATGGTTCACTGTAAGGAACGAAACCCCTTTTTTCAAAGTAAGTCTAGGAAGTCCGAAGGAACATCAGGGGGGCTCGCCGTCAAAAAGGTAGTGGGACGCATGTAAACCAAAGGAGCGGCCGAGCCCCTTTTGAAAAGTGAGTGTTCCTCATTCAAGCCGGATCCTGTATGATAATAAACGTTTGGAGGTCCGCGCGGACTTCTTGGATCGGCGCTGGGACCCCCTCCCAGGCGCGCGGAACGCGTCAGGGGCGGCGACGGAGGCGCGTTCAGGAGAGGCCCAGCGCCGACCAAAGAAATATGCATGGGGATCCGAACATGCATGTTCGTGCACACTTTCTGCTTTGAACGACCTCCTCTTCATCGTCTTGCCCCGCTTGCTCCTCATGTACGCTGTACGCTGATAGCATGTGCCAGGGAGACGTAACACTCGGGCTCGGGGGACTCGGGTTGGCCTGAATGGGCCGTCATGAAAATGACGAGACCAATCCACAATTTGACGCGAACTCCCGCTGCAAACATCCCACGAACAGTGGACCGTCACATTCCAAGACGCGCTCGTCAAAAAACGTCAGCTAACCCGAGTTCCACAGTACTCGAGTCTTACGTTTCTCCGAATGCGGCATGAATTCTATAATGCAGGGCGCTGCCGCTGGTGGAAGATTCTTTTTTCTCGCCGGGTAAACTTGAAGCTGAAATAATTTGGCCTACCTCCTCCTCCTCCTCCTCCTCCTCCTTCTCCTGCTCCTCCTCTTGTTCTGTGCCAGCCAGCGCTGAGACCAGCCCGCCCTCGTGTTGGCGCTCGCGCTCACGCTCGCGCTCAGCCGCACAGACGGGGCGGAACAGAGCACACACGCACACACACACACACACACACACACACACACACACACACACACACGCACACACGGCTTTGGAAAAGACTTGGCTGCTCTGCAGACCCGGAAGCGAGGCGAACGGCTGGCACGAGGGACAACGATAGGGAAGGACCAGCTCAGGGAAGGAGACATCAACCTGGAATCGGCGATGGCGAGATGCCGATAGGTCGGCCATGAAGGGGACATCGCTCAGGGGAAGAGCCATCAAGGGGCTATGAAGGTGTCATGCCGCCAGCACGGCCATGACGGGGCCATGAAGGGGCAGATTTGCTGAGAAACCAGCTCAGGGGAGGAACATCGCCGATAGATCGGCCATGAAGCCCCGATAGCGAATCCGCACGGTTCTGGTCGGAGTGGGCTACCTAATCAGCGATGGATGGGCAATCGGGTGCCAAGGCATCCACCCCACGGGCCTATTCTCCCCTAATGCTGCCCCCGATGGCCGTGGCCAGCAAGGAATCCCCGTGGACACGAGGCACCTGCAGCAGCCGTGCGGGGAGGAGGCGCGGCCAACGGCGTTCTTAACGGGATGACGGCAGGCGCTCTGCCGAAACGGGGCACGGAGTGTGCTGACTCGGGCATGCTCTTCCTCCTCCTCCCTCCAGCCCTCCCTCCTCGCTCATCATGCCCTTCTCCTCCTCCCGCCCTCCTCGTTCCCTTCCTCCCGCCCTCATCCTTGCCTCCCTTCCTCCTCATCTCAATCCTCACTCCCCATCCTCTACACCTGTCGCTCTGGCGCGCGCGACTCCCCGCGCTTGTCGGCTCACATCACGGGCCGCCGTGCGATGTGCGCGCTCGTCGACCGGCATCGGGCTGCAGCTCATGGCGGGCAGAGGGAGGAAGCTGAGCAGCAGGGAGCTGGATGGTGAGGGGGCGGTTGCAGACGGGGAAGAGGAGGAGAAAGAGGAGGTCAAGGTTAAGGATAAGGCCTTTGGGGAGC